CGAGCCCTGAGTGGACCTCAGAAACAGAAGAACAGTAAACTTCCTTTGGAACTCAGGAGAGGAGCTTTCTCTAGTTTCAACTTTGGATCCCCACCCTCTCTTGAAATGATCATCAGGGTCACTCAGGAGCCCCCTGCCCCCCACCCTCCCACCAAAAAATAGAGTAGACAGATAGAGAATAACAAAGAAAGCCTAGAACCCGACAGGAAATGGTCAACTTGGATTCACATATACCTTACTAGGTAGGACACAAAGACAAGTTACTCCTCACTAAGGTATTGAAGATTTCTCTGCACACCCTCCTAAAACTGTTCCGCTCCTCAATTGTTGACATATTACTTGTTAGAGTTATAAGCCAGTTTAGTTTATCCTAAAATCTGCCAAGTTCAGTACAAATTATGTTTCAACACTATAAATTGCTAAATACAAAAATGAAAATAGACAAGAGAAAGCTGAATAGTACCCTACGGCCATTTTAAGGTGTATAGAAGCTGGCTGTATAAAAACTAAAATTGAAATGTCAATGAAGTAGTCACAGGATGTGGTTAAGAACTTGAATTTTCTAACATATTTGTTACTCAATACCATGTCAGTTAACTCCATAGTGTTGTAAATTGTTGTTGATGTTATGCTGTGGCTTTTAATTGGTTGGGATGATATTCTGCCAGCTCTGCCTTCAGACCAGAGATGGTCTCCCCAAGAAACCACTGACTTTATCTGGACAGTGAGATGCTGGACTCTATGCTTCTTATACGCTTTCATTGAAAGAATCTTGACTGGATTTGAACTGTAACACTGCAACAAGGTGGAGGAATCCATCATGAGGGAAGGGTACGGGGAGAGGTGGGGAAATCCCAGAGCCTATGAAACTGTGTCACAAAATGAAATGTAATTAATTTAAAAAAAAAAAGAGCTGTTACTCTGAAAAATAATCCCAACCAGGGCATCACTGAAAAAAACTGATTTTAGTATTGCAGGGGATTTCCTTGTCCTTAGAATCAATATGTACACATGAATTCTGAAATAAGTAACAAAATATGCTCATTAAATTTATGATTTCGACTATTTTTTCTTTACATTATTTCTATTTTGTAAGTATCATTAAGACAAATCATGAAAAACAAATACATTCAAAGCTTCAGGATCCAAAATAAACCATAACATTTTCGACTTGGTACATACAACAAAACCGAGATATGAAGCAAAGATTGGGATACTATAGTGTATTTCCTTTAAGCTTATAATTTTTTTCCATATGACCCAGTAAAAAATTCACAAGTTATCGAGTGAGTTTCCCAGATCACTAAAATTCCTCAAAAATAGGAAGCTGTATGGGTGAGACACAGGAGTTTGCGTTTCAGCATGCTTTCTGAAGCATCCTCAATCTGGGAATCTTGGTGCATACCCAGCAACCATTTTCTCCTCCATGACTGAAGCTGTTTCTGTTTCTTTTCCAGTTTTATCCCACAAATCATCTATGTAGTTTCCAGAATATCTTATAAGATTAAAAATATGATCATGTCATTTTATTTTCTGTTTATCAAAGATTTCTTGAGCATTCTAGTTTATCAGGGTACAGTGGTGAACGTGAACTAAGGTTTTGGTGTTATGGCATCAACATTCAGTGTTCCTTCATCTTAATCCTCTCCCTTACCAAAAAATTCCTCAGTGACTTCCCAGTGACACCCCGCCCCCCAAAATGCCCAAACTCATTTCTATGATGGATATGACAATCAGGTGTCCAGGCCTCCTGTAAGGACTTGATTCTCATCTTGCATCCTACAGTGCAACTGTATCATAATGTTGGTTTCCTACTTACAGTTGTTTTCATGAGCCATCTCTCAGTTTTAGTCCCTGTGAGTAATACCCGTCTGTATTTCAAGATTCAGACACCTTGTCTGAATGAGAATTTACCTGATCTCTCTCTAAGAAGGGAAATAACTCCTTGTTTGTTGATGCTTATATGGTACATATAAATTCTATTCTATGGATATGACTACATAAAAGAAATATTTTCTTCACTGAATTGCATTAGCACTCTAATTCAAAATCAGTTGAGCCCAAACACACAGATTTGGTTTTTCACTCTCAATTCTTTACTTTTTAATAGTTGCATATTTTCTTTTTATTTGAAAGCCCAAAAGAGAATTTCCTAAGTTCTCACAAGAATTTCAGGTCAAAACCAGTAGCCTGGTTCCCACCTGGGTGTCAGGGACTCAAGAACTTGAGCCATCACCTGCTACTTCATACGGTACACGTTAACAGTGAACTGCAGTCACAAGGGGAGACAAGACTCAAAGGCCAAATACTCCAATATGGGATCGATGTACCTCAAGTAGTATCTTGTCTGTCACCGGCAATTGCTTGCCATATTCTTCGTTTTAAAAAAAGAGTATTTTAGTAATCCCAATATGATGGCTCAATTGGTTAATCCTCTTCTTGCAAGCACAGGGATTCCATATGGGTGTTGGTTTGTATCCCAGCTGCTCCACTTCCTCTCCAGCTCCCTACATGTGCCCTGGGAAAGCAGTGTAAATGGCCCAAACCTTGGGACCCTGCACCTATGTGGGAGTCCCAAAAGCAGCTCTTAGCTCCTGACTTTGGATCTGCTCAGTCCTAGCCATTGTGGCCATTTGGGGAGTGAACCAGCAGATGGAAGACCATTTCATTTGTGTCTGCTCTCCTTCTCTTTGTAAATCTGCCTTTCCAGTAGGAATGAAAAATCTTTCAAAAGTAAAAAGTATTTCATTGTTATTGATGTTCTTTTTGTTGTTACATATAATAATCAGATAAGCTCTTCTATATTTCTAGAGAAAATAATTGCTGCAGATCTGTTAGATAAACTTCATCTCAATTCCCAACAGCATTATTTTATTTTTAGTTTTACAACATATAGCATTATTTAGTTAAAACAGTGTCAAGAACAGTATGAATTATAAAACATACCATTAAACATTTAGTGTATATTATTTTGTGTCTTTCAAGTGATATAACACTGAAATCCTAAGATGCCACACCACTTCAGTATAAGTAGGAGGAAGAAACAATGCAGTGAGCCTATGTAAGTATAGGATAAGTGGACATATTAGATAATGTATTCAAACTTCTGAACATTTGAGAGAATTTTTGTTTGCTCTTTGAGACCTCAGTTTGATGAGAAGGACTATCAAAATAATACATCACATTATATTGAAACAGCTACTAAGCCTTAGTAAAAGTTAACTTCTGCAAATGACATGATAATCTCTGTAGAAAATCCCCCAAATTCGGCGATAATATCAAAATCTGGAACTAATAAACGACTATGTTAAGGTTGTAGAATAGAAGATTAATATACAAACATCAGTTGCTTTCCTGTGCACTGGTAAACAGCAATAACAACCTGCAGCTAAAAATACATCACCTATAATTCTATAATATAGAAAATAACTAGAATATCTAACAAAATATGTACAGGCTTTATAGGAAGAAAAGCACTAAACTGTGATTAGATGAACCCACTAAGTGAATATGTCCTATCACATGATTATGGACCAATATTGTTAAGATGTCAGCTGTGATTTTATGTAACTGATCATAGAGGATAGGCAGACATAAATAAGCATCTGAAAAATATTCATCATCAGATGTCATTATGTAATTGCAATTTAAAACAGCAAAGATTCTATGAGATACCTACTAAATTAGCCTAAACCTAAAACAGTAACTACACAAAAGACTGTCAAATTGGAAGCATTTTAGGATATCATTCATTAATTGTAAAAACGTAAGAGGCTCTAGTCACTTTGGAAGATGGTTTGGCAGAGTATTTTTAAAATTAAGATAAACATAGTTTTACCCTATAATCCATCAATCATGGCCCTATGTATTTACTCCAATGAGGTTAAAACTTACATCCACATAAGCCTGAACAGTAGTGTTACTAGATTTATTCTTTATTTCTAGAAATAGCCAATGAGACACGTTATGACCAATCAGTGATGAGATAATAAAATGTGGCTTATGCCTTCAAAGGAATATAATTCAGCATCAATAAACAGTGAATTACCAAAGTGCAAGAGTCTGGGAAGAACTCTTGGTACACTTTACAAAGGGAAAAATCAAGTCCAAAGTCGACACATTACATGTTTCAGACTGTACAACATGCTAGAAGGGCAAAACTATAGAGACAACAAACATCTGTGGTGGCCAATAGTTCAAGGAGATGAAGGGAAAAATGAATCAGTAGATCTTAATGCTTTTAAGGCAGAAAAGCTATTCTGTATGATACCATACTCACTGAGGGATGGTGCTACACATGCATCAAAATTGGCAAAGCTGGTTCACACAAGTATTAAATCTTAATGTCAATTACAGACTTTAATGACAACATATCAATGTTAGATCACCAATAGTAACAAATGTGTCACAGTAAAGCAAAATTATAACAGGGGAACTATGCAGGGGGAAGGGGAGTAATAGGAAATGCTCTACTTTTTGCATATATTTTCTGTAAAACAAAATGTGATTGTTTTAACTAAAAACTTTGTCCACAGCATTAAAAGTTAGCATAAAATTATATGTGTATCAAACACACACACACACACACACACACACACACACACACTCACACACACAAATGCACACATTGATACCATAACAAACATCTGGTTGTCATAATTTTTAAGTGTTACGTATTAGTATGTTTTCTTTCCTAAAGTTATGCATCTTCAGGGACTAGTGTACCATGGTGAGGAAATCTAGGTAATGATGCTAGAATATAATAAATTTGGTAGTGAAAAACAATAGTGCTGAAATGAATACTGGGAAGCCTTTGGTTCAGGAAATAATTAAAGAACATTTGATGCTAAAAACTACATGATATCACATTACATTTTATTCTGTAGCTGATTATATGTCAAGAAATATAGATGTAAACTTAATTATAAAATCGCCTACCAAAAGTATATTTCAAACTTTCCCAGTGAGTGAAAATACGAGGGAAACCAATAAGCACATACCAATTCATTGATGCTGATTAACAGAACATTTTCATATACTTGGCCGCCTTTAATTTTTTCTATATCACAATTAGGTGATGTCACTGGCAACAGAACAAGGATCAAAGGAGGAATTCCAAAGATATACCTAAAAGAAACTGAATGAAACAGTAAGTAAGAATCAGCTAATCATTAGGTTATATTACATTTGACCGTAGCTTTTCAGAGGACTTGATTACTTATTTCCATATTTTAAGATGAATTTTTAGCATTTAGGTAAAAAAGGGTCCTAAAAATCAGAATTTTATAAGCATCAAAGGGGAATAGCATTTGCTGGTTTAAGGTTTTTTGATTTTTTATGTAGAAATTCTTTGTGGACCCAGCACATGGCCTAGAGGCTGGGGTCCTCACCTTGCACGCGCCAGTATCCCATATGGGCGCCGGATTGTATCCTGGCAGCTCCGCTTTCCATCCAGCTCCCTGCTTGTGGCCTGGGAAAGCAGTCAAGGACGGCCCAAAGCCTTGGGACCCTGCACCCGCACGGGAGACCCCGTGGAGGCTCCGGGATCCTGCCTTCAGATAGGTTCGGCTCAGCTCTAGCTGTTGTAGCCACTTGGGGAGTGAATCATTAGATGGAAGATCTTCCTCTCTGTCTCTCCTCTGCTCTGTATATATGATGTTTCAATTAAAAAAATAAAATAAATCTCTATAAAAAAGAAATCATTCTTTGAAAAAGCGCAGAACAGGTATGATGAACTCATAGACTCTGCTTCTCACAGAAATTTCAAGCTATGATAACAGTTTATACAATTGGTATTTATGTTGAAGGTCCCTCCAGGAAAAGACATCTACAAAGTACAAAGAGGTATTAATATGTTTGTACAAAGTGGTGCTAACATCTTTTTTCTAAACTGACATAGTTTGACATTTTAGGAAGTATAATTACAACATGGATTTGATGGTATTCCAAATATCCAATTACATTCTAGAGGCAACAATTGGAAAAGTCTATTTCCATAAAACTGCTATGATTATATTCTTTTGAAATCATGGACATTTTTAGCACAAAATCATTAAAAATGTATTGTTGTGCATTGGGAGTCCTCCTTTCAATTCTTTCATTAGTTTCTTTTTCTATGTGTTCAAAGTCATATGTTTTCAAGCATAGCTCTGTCCAGCTTCTTTCTGTGTTCAAAGAGCCCAAAAATAAATCTATACCCTTGTTAACTAATGACTTACATCTGCTTTGATAAGCTTCCCATCTAAAGACCCTACTGCAATAAAAAATAAATTATAAATGGTATCATTTCAGACAGTGAATGTACAGTGACAGAAAGCAAGTAACTCCCAAAAACATAAAAATCAGGTTACATGGGAATCTGTTTCTTTATATGTTAACATCGTACTTTATTCGAATCTTTCTGCAAACTCCGAGTAATGCTAACAATATATTCCCTATAAGTTTCCCAAGTGAATTTTTACTTAGTTGTTGAGTGCAAAACATTTCACAAGATTGAGAGTAGAAGCAACACCCTTTAGACACAAGGAATATTGTGACAATCATATCAGAAAGTTCCATGCAATGCATCATGTAGCATATAATCTGTCACATAAGAAGTTGGAGTTGGAAACAGCCCTTAGTAAATAGATAATATTAGTGGTACGTATTTCTACAAATAGAATTAATTAGGCTGTCACTGACATTTGATGTTGTCAGAGAAACAAAACCCAGGAGTAAGACATGGAATTTATTCACAGCTCTGTGATTTAGTGCTTACATAAACAACAAGCAAGAATGGACAGATTAATAATGATAATGCTACTTACCTTTAATTGAGTAACTATTATGGGTCCATAGTTATCAGGTTACATATTTTTTATCCCAAAATATTCAATGGAAAATTCCAATAATATCTCAAGTTTTATATTGTATGCCATTCTGATGTGCAATCAAGAAATTTTACTGTCCTACTACATCTGACTCTATTTGTGAATCTTGTTTTTGTCTCTTTTATCCACACTATATACACTATCTGCCTGTTAATCACTTAGCAGTTATCATATCACTGATGGTGATATTGGAGTGCTTTGTGTTAAAGTAACCCTTATTTTACTTGGCAATGACAAAGCTCACAACTAGTGATATTGGTAATTCACATATGTCAAAGAGAAGCCATAATGTGCCTCCTTTATGTGAAAAGGAAAAAAAAAAACCCATCTGTTTAGCAAAAAACAAAAACAAAAACAAGAAAGAACATATGCTCAGGTTGCTAAGAATTACAAATTTTCTATATGTGAACTTGTAAATGGGAAAGAAAATTCATGCTGATTTTATTCTTATACTTTAATTAAACAGTAGTTGTGGCCATGGTGCATTTTAAGTAATTCCTTAAGACTGAAAAACCTAGTATTTGAGTATACAGAGTTGAGTACTAAGTGAGGCTTTAGGCATAACTGCCATTGCACATCTTGGACATCTTGGAATATATCGCCTCTGTTTAAGGTGGCCGGGGAGGGGCAGGAGATGGATTCACCATGTATAAGGAGATAGTGGCTTATCTGATACCTATAGGCAGTATTGGCATTTGATATTTATTAATGCACAGATAAGTGCCAGGTCTGAATGCTGCTGGATTTGTTACAGCACCCAGCTTTGATCAGAAATGATTGTAGTAATTTGAAACAATGCAATCACATTGGCATTTTGAATGGAAACCAGTTCCATGCTAGAATACTCAGTTTTGTTTGTCTTTTCTATTTCACTTTTCTATTGTCACTTTAAGTTTCTCACACACCAAGCAATAGAGCAAGGCAAGTGTTGAGAGACTGAAATAAGCAGACTTGGGATTTGTGTTTTTATATGCCCCCTACCTTGTATGACTGAGTGAATGACAAATCATCCTTTATGTTTCACCTCTCTGATTTCTAAAGCAGACATTTTAAAATAATTGAATTCTCATTATCACATTCAGCTCCCACACACTTTAATTTTAATACTCTCACTGGCCTTCTATATATGTCTCTTAAGTTGAAATTGCCTAAGGGGTGATGCTGCAAGCATATCTAGGTCTTCATTAGTGATGTATGGTTTTGCCTGTAGTTTCTCCAATACTTCTTAACCAATAATGTATTAAGAGTATCTTACTTGTGTAACTGTGAGAAAAAGGAGTTCTATATTGTTCAAATTTTCTTGTATTACACAATAGACACTCATCCCTTCCAGCTTAAACTTTTTTTTTCAAGCCAAAAAGACCCATAAGGAATAATGTAAAGCAAGTGTGGGTTTGTGGAACGGTCTTAAGTCTCCTGGATGAAGGGACTGAAACCAAAGAATTTCTTTTCTGTGGGGAATTTGGTTAAACCAGAATGATTACTGTCTAAAAATTCTTGTTGGTTTTTAATTTAAGCCAAGTAATACATCCAATCTTCAGCTGCTTAAGTTATGGGGTCAAAGTGAATATAAATAAATTGGCTTCTATATTTCATCATATTCAGTCTTCAATCCATCTTTAAGAATAGTAAGTGTTTACTGAGTGTACATTTCATAGACGTATTTGCACTGATACAAGGTTAGGCCTGTAAGTCTTTCATATTTTATAAATGGAGAATATAGGGTAGAAGGGGTGTGTATTCTTTTATAAAATGTGACTAGTTAAAGCCAGGAGTCAAATTCAGGTTTGTCAGGTGGAGCCTATAGGCGCAGTGTGTAGAGACACTGAACTGCACAACTTACTAACTAAATAACTTTATAGAAGTGATCCAGTGTAATGCACACAAATCCATAGTCTTTTGCATGAGCCTCATTAAAGTGTTTCCTGGCCACGTTCTGAAACTATATCGTGCACTTTTATTTTAGAGAAAGAGACATTAACTATTTGTTCCTTATAGTTGGCTACAGGTGAGGACTGAGATCAGAAAACACACATACACAGGAGTATGATCATGACATGAAACAACCTTTTCCACTTAAAGACTTTTACACCTTGGTACAGTGCTATTTATAATTCGTCTTTGCATCTGTTCTAGCTTTCTAATCTTTCTCAGTTCTCTATCTATTATTCTGCTTTTCAGTCCTTGTGTATGGTAAAGTGACCCAAAGCAGTTAGCAGGACTGAGTGGCACAGAGGAGACACTCAGGACGAAGTGTAAAATGTATTTCTATCCAGCTGTTGATGGAGTTAACCAGTTAGTGAAAAATGTAGGAACAAATTGCAGAAAGTCCCTCAGTATAACCATCGTTATTTGAAGTTTAGAATTTTAATCTTTGACTTCTACTATCAACTAGTGGTGCTGAATTAATGTGAGAGCAGTTCAGGAAAGAGCCACTCCGTATTATAAATGCACATCCTAGCTCCCTGTTCGCATTTCAACTCCCTAGAGCACCGGTGATGTAAGGTTTGAAACCAGGAGTCATCCAGGAAATAGTAGTTTCAAGAGGTTTCGCGTGCGTTGTAAAGAGAGTGGTGTTCAATTTCCAATTTTGTGTTCAGCACCTTTAGGACACCTCTTTGAATCTTCCCTGATCGCCTGTTTTCTCCTACCTAATCCTATTTAATTTTCTCACACTATGCTTACGTCAATTCTTCATTCTTGAAAGCCTGGGAAAGGGAAAGGACCCCCGAGGTAAAGGAGCTCACTGAGAGACAAGCACAGTGGATTTCCCATTTCCCAGCCCTGCTCCACCCGTCCTCTTCTGCATAAGAAGTGCTTGCTGTAAAACATTCCAGTTCCACTCATATCCCCTCCCCCTCACATCCCTGTTCCCTCTTCCCTCTTCTTTTCTTGCAATATTATTTTTTTCTTTTGCGAAAGGAAGCAATCCCACCTCCATTTATCCCCTCTCACTGTAAATGAATATTTTGAGCAAATAAAATGAATTAGGTCCTAGTAAGAATTTTTCTCCAGGAGCAAGCGATCAGAAAACACACACACACACACACACACACACACACACACACACACACACACACACACACACAGAGTTTGTCAATGCCCATTTCTTAGATTTGGGTTCTCAGCAAAGAGCGCTAGGTACTGCCCCATTCGGAAACTCCCAGCCACACTGAGGGGGGAAAACGGGGTTTTCCGGCGACCGTAGGGTTTTAAAAGTGTGTCCCATGGGAGCCTTGTTTTCAATTCTCTAGGCAGTTCGTAGCTGCAAAGAACCCAGTTACTGGCTGAACCCGGGCCGCCTGTAAGTCGGCGTGGCCAGGAATCTAAAGAAGGCTGATTGGGCGTGGAGCTGGCAGAAGATAACGCTGGCTGGGGAGTAACAGACAGCCGGTGACTACCTCTTAGACCTGGCTGCAGGCCGTCGCCCATGAGTGGCACCAAGCCTGTGGCGTTTGACCTGGGTTCGGAAAGCAGGTGTCGGGACTGATTCTCGGTAGCCCCAGCTGTTTGGGACCTCAAGGAAAATTACTCCTGTGCGCCACCGTATCCAGGACCGATTGGCGGCTGCTAGTGGGAGAGGCAGTGCTCTCAACTGTCCAAAGGGCAAGGCCGGGCTATTCCCGGACGTGCGTGGGCGCAGGGGGCAGGCAGAGCCACCCAGAGTTACTCGGCACGCCCGGTGCGCGAACTTATGCGCCCGGGAGAGGAGCGCTTACCATGGAACATGGTCTGCGGGAGGCGGGCGTAGTCATGATGACCGCAACTGCAGCAGGAGCAAGCTCTCACCGCCCATAATCACGCCCAGGACCCTGGTCTTCCGCGGAGTTCCCGCGAGTCGGTGCCGGGTAGGGCAGTGTCTGAGGCTGGTTGCTCACCCTCGCCGCGCCTGTTGTTTCATCCATCCCGAGGGGGCGGCACACACCACAGCCCAGCTCTGTGCTTTGCCATTTCCATAACTTCCGTAGGATCAATCGGCAGTGTACTTTCAGTTTCTAGTTTGCGCTTGGTCTGCAGGTTCAAAATCGCTGGGTTTATTCCAGGTGAGCCGTCACCATTTCCCCTCTCCTGGGCACCTGCGTCTTTCTTCACAGCTTCCTATGCACCTGGACTAGGACTAGAGTTTCTCAAGTACCTCCGGAGAAACTAGCCAGCCTTCTCAATCAAAGCGATCCGGGGCAAACGACTTTCCAGAGGACTCCTAACAGCCTTGGCAACTCTGGGCGACTGGGAGCTAAGGCTGTCAGTTGCTAATATGTCCACGGAAGTCACGAATGTGCAGAGTGTCCAAGTGGACGCCACCGAGGAGGCGTTGCAGCTTCTGCTGCGGATGTGGTGGACGTTGCCAAGTCGTCTTGTTAAAAAAAAAAAAAAAAAGGAAGTGAAGAATGATTAAGAGGGTCACGCCCTTTGTCCCTCTAACCTCTCTAATCAGTCTCTTTCTGTTCTGTCTTTCGTACATGCACCTGCTCAGGTGCAGCTCTATGAAAAAAATTGTCCTGTGGAACTACTTACTCTGGTAAGTGATGTCTTTAAAAAGTTAACTCCCATTAAGTGGAGCGTGTGGAAACTGATTGTAATAACCATGATTCCTGCGAGTGTATTTACTGAATAAGAAAGCAAACTGCCCATCATAACAGTATGTTCCTATGTCCTTAGGATGTTCATTTCCTTCCTAGGTCTGAGCTATCTAGTTATTTCTTATTTTGTTCTGGTTTATATTCTGTAGAGCTGATGGAGGGGATTGAAAACTAGCAACAACAGTGATAATAGTAGCAGCATTCATTATCTAGCCTTTTCTCTGTACCAGAATGAGGCTAGGCATTTTACATGCATGTCTCATGTAAGACTTTCAATGGGGCAGACTTTTTTTTTTTTTTTTTTTTTTTACCTGTGCTTTGAAGATGTGGGAACTGAGACTTCCTTTAGTGGCATGCCGTAGTTCACTGCCTCATTTTGGACAGAAATCTCAATTCTTGCTCTAGAGAGTATTCTTGGAATCACTGTGTTAGACCTTTGAACACTGCAGTCGTTTAGAAAGTGATGCCAGGAAAGAGAAGGCATCCTGTAGATGGACCTTTGACCACAGGGAAAGTTTCTGGGGCTTGTGATGTTTAAATTGACACCTGAAAGGGTGTGGACTAGTGGAAGGCATTCTTGATTCTCTTGCAGTGTGGCAAAACAAACAAACAAACAAACCAGAAAAACAGAAAAAAAAAAACAATTGGAACAAATTTATAAGACAAAAGATTTCAAGCTCTCCACTGTTGTCTGTGAATCCTCTCCTTTCCAAATGCAATGCTCTCACTTTCCAAATGCAATGCTCAGGCAAGTCCTGACAGTGTAGCCTTCCAATAAAACCTGTTGGTGATTACAGAGTCTGTCTGAGGGATATGCAAGCTTTTAATCTTGCCCACCGTTGCTTCAGCCCCTTCCCAGAAGTTAGATATCTGATGCCATTCCCTTACCCCAGATCCATTGCATGCCAGGTCCTCCAAACACTGTGTGATCTGAATTCTCTGAATCTTTCCCTCAAAGCACCCTTAGGCTATGCTCAGTCACCTTGGCTTTCTAAAATTCCCTGTACCCAACCCAGCTTGCTGCTACTTAACCGTATCCAGCACATGGGGAGCAATGAGTAATTGTTGTTGAGTGACAGAATGAACGAGAGCTGCTCTGTGTGAAAACACATGCATGACTGTGTGAAAGTGTGTGACAGCAGATGGGAAACAGAAGGAAAGTGGAAGAAACTGATTGGGGCAGGAGTGGTTAGCAGACACAATGAAGAGGGAAAAGTTGACAGTTTTCACTTGACTGGACTTAGAGTGGGAGATGGGGAGTAGAGAAACAAGGAGCTGGCATTACTTAAAAAAAATGAATCCTGTAATTGAACATGGTGCAGCTAGGTGACGTATTTACTTAAAATCCTTAACCACAGCATTGAGGCAGACAGCTGCTCAGTGCCTGCACTTGTCTGTTATTTATTTATCTACCTTTCAGGGACAGAGTAAAAGAGCATCCATCAATGACTCGCACTAGGCAAAATCCGCTTTCCTTTTTGCTGTAATAACCATAAAACCTGATAGAATAAGAACTTGTGCATACATGAACATTAGGGGAAAGGAAGGAAATTATTTTCAGATTTAGGAGATGTAAATTGTCACTGAAATGTGACCCAAAGGGTGATAGATTTCTTGAAGAGAATATGCTTAAAGCACTTGGATTTTTTAATGGTTGTGGGAGAAAGAGCACAATTTAACTGCAATGAATTATTATTTTTCTGCCTATGAGAGAATAAATGTAATTTGGAAAATGCAAAAAAAGTCTTAAATAAGCTTGTATTGGTAAACTTGGCATTATTTCTAATAAGGCTGATAAGAATATAGCATTTTACAAGTTTTATGATAGTACTTTATGATTAAATAAATGGATCAATAACTTTCTGTTGGCTCATAAACAGAAATTATGCTGGAAAGCCAATAAGGAGAAAAGCAGTATGTAAATTTTGTAAGCTATAATTAACAAATATTGAAAGGGAAGACAGCATTCTCAGAATGATGGACTTAGTGCATTAGAAAAACTGAAATAAACACATGAAATTATTAAACAGTATATTTTTAGTATTCTACAATATTTAATTACAAGTACATTTCAAAATGTATTCCTATAAAATATTCCTTCAGTATTTATATAAAATTTTACTCAATTCTGCTACTTTTCAGAGATTGTGATCTGAATTCTATCTAATGCATATTTCACAGATTTTTTCTGAAGTTCCTTGATTTAATTTTCTAGGCATAACATTCAGCATGTTTCAAACACACACAAAGGTAACTGATGGTATATGATTTGAAAGTTGGATCATTGCTTTAAATGTTCTGCTATTAGAATCTTAAAATCTTAATTATTTTTGGACAAGCGGAACCTTATTTTCATTTTGCATTGGTCTGCACAAATTCTTCCTCTGTTCACACAGACTTTTCACATGTTAATTTCTACATTATGGATAGCAATGCATGACTTTAGGATGGTAACAACCCAAGAAAGGAAACAGATGCTAGATGTGTAATTTCAAGCATGAAGAATATTATGTAAAGGGAAAAAATAATGCTATGTGAACCAGAGATGTAAGCCAGTCTAGAACTATTTTATACTAAAATAAGATCTAAAAATTTTATTCACCTGTCTAGTTAAAAATAGCTGTAAGTGGATGCCCTTTAATTTATAATCAAAGCCGTTTGATTTTGAAGCCCAAGCCTGGGAACTGTATTTTAATTTTATCAAAGGACTAATAAACGTCTATTTACATAGTCATATTTTTCTTATGTTCTTGAATAAACCATAAACCATAAATACCAATTTAAATTGTCAATATTTAACTTGGAGTTTTGCAACTACATTTACAATTGGGATTTATTGGTTGCTTATATTGTGATTAACTGAGAATAGTGACAGCAGTTTGGTCTTGTCATGTTTTGGTAACTTCATGAAAGGAATTAGGAATTTTGTATTTTTTAGGTCTGTAACTTTGTGCATTGTATGGACAATTTGTTTCTGAAAGATTTGCTAGAGCTCACCCATACAACATACTTAATTTTATGTGATGAAGTCCAGAGAGAGGATAAGACTGTTAATTCTGAGCTTCATGAAATTTTGAATAAAAAGATTTGTTCTGAAGGTCTAATCAAGATAGTTGTGTCAGTCAGGAAGAACCCAACTGGGGAAGTGCATGCCAGAGCACGGGTAATAGTCTGAGTTGTGGAATAAACAAAATAACTCACAATACCAAAAGGAACCCTGAGGCTCAAGCATAACAAGTACACAAAGAACTACGGGTGATGAGAACAAGATGAACATAGAGTAGGTAGCAAAAGAAGAGAGTTGGCAATCAATGTTTCAGAAGTAGGTGGAAAATGCATTTCAAAATAGACTAATTAGTTAGTATTTCCGCTCAACAAAAGAGATTAAATAAGATTGAAGTTATGTACACTTAGTTTGGTGTAGCCATTATAGATTGATCACTCATGGTCCTCGTAAGAGAAGAAACGTGTAGACAGAAGCAGTATTCTAGTTTGTAGGGGATAGAAGAAAAAAAGTTTGTTAGAAGGGACATTCTTTTAAAGATGTTTGCCTGAGAGTGCAGGATCCAGGAGTGGGAGTGGGTCCAATAAGGAAATAGTGGGCACCTCCCTCTTGGGTTGCTACTCTGAATGGTGAGCAAGAGAACCAGGACTAGGGGCAGGCATGACTAGATAAAGAGTGGCATGGGCCAGCATGTGTGTGGGATAGATGAGGCTGGTTGGGTTGAACTAGGTTTCAATGCCCATTGACATGTAGGATAGCTTAATGAGATGTGGGATGGACTGGACCAGTCGGCTGTACATACTGGCAAACACGGTAATTGGGGCAGGGGCAAGTCTGGTGGGGGTTATTGCAGGTTGCTCTGACTATACTGTGGCTCCCACTGGTGTATGTGAAGGCTGAGAGTGTGGTGTGCAAGATCGGGCTGGGCTGCAACATCCAGTGGTTTGTGTAGAAGACAGGGTTGGAGACAAAAGTGACCCAGCAATTGCGATCACTAGCATATGCATTTGTTGATTGGGGCGATGGACTGTGCTGGACCCTATTTTGGCAAGCACACACAAGAATCAGGTCAGAGATCACATCAGATGAAGTTTCTTCGGGGATCCCGCCCCTCCCCCCCGAACTGCTGGATTCAGAACTCCAACCATGAAGAAATTGCAGGTTCCATGGTCTGATCATGGAGTGCATGTGTCAGGGCTGGTCCTCCTCAGTGGCTTAGACAGAGCACAGTGGATCGCATGTCCGGGTGTACATGAGGATATGGCAGTACATTGGAGTCTGCAGAGGACACCTGTTGCAACGGAGGACGTAGGACAGAACAAATTGATCAACTACCCCAGCCAAGTGTTGGCAGTGAATATCTGGGCAAACGAAGACTCTAAGGTGGACTATGTCAACCAGTGGATTCTGGAGAGATTTTTATTGTGCTTGGAGTGGTGAGATTGGCAGTAATTCGGAACTGTTTAGCTTTCAAAACCTCTTGAGCAGGACCCTCAGAGCATGCTCAACTATGGGGACCCTGGGATTGTTTGGAGGCTGGGTCTGGCTTCTCTCCTTATCTACCTCCTTCCTCCAGATACAGAAGAAAAAAATGAATGTGGAAATAGTGATCTCATCCACCTTCTTACAACCCTTGATCCTTATCACCCTAATCAGCTATGTAAAAATCATCAGAAATGCAAATAATTAAGAAAAATAAAGATGTTTGGGAATGATAAAAACAGTAGGGTGTGGCTGAGTGTTTGATACAGAAGTTAAGATGCAACCTGGGATGTCTGCATCCAGTA